ATCAATTGCAGCAATTAAATGTGCCAAAGGCAGAGGGGAAAGCAGAGATACAAAGAGGTGGTACGGCTGCCCAGCTCCCGTCTCGAGCGATGAATTAACCAACCCAAACTCAAACAGAAAGCAGCCACACGGCAGGCACAAGATGAATGTGATATAACAGCAACACGACCAACACAACGACAACAACAACAACAACAACAACTGCAAGTTAATTAAATGATTTTCAATGTCTGACAAGCGCGCGTTACTTTCCTAAGTCCCCTCCAACAATAGCAAATGGAAAATGGCAAATGGTAAAAATGAAATCGATTGCATTGGAAATGCATTTCCGTTAAGAGGCGATCTCCAAATGTCGACTGGCAAATATATTTGCAGGATGCCCAGCCAGGCTTCAATCAGCTCACAAATAGGTTTTTCCTTTTCATTTCATGTTGAAAGTTTCCCCATCGTCTGTTTGCTCAATTCAGCCACAGCGGAAAACAGATTACAGGGTCGCTACAATAATATAACTAACTAACTATATATAGTATATACTATATATATATATATATATATATATATATATATATATATATATATATATATATATATATATATATATATATATATATATATATATATATATTTAATACAAAGTAAAATTTAGTTATACATAATCAACAAGTTCTAGCACATCAAGGCTAGCAGCTCGAAATTTCCATACACAAATCGTGATTATAATTGCAGCAGCTACGTTGTTTGGCTGTTGAGCTGTTGTGATATCTTATCAGAGACCAAGAGCAACAACAACAACAACAACAGCAAACAGACAACAGAAAAAACAGCGCAAAACAAACTAATAGATACAATTGAATTTGATTAAAAGCATCTCTCAAGTTATGCACGGAAATCAAGTGAAATTTAAGTAAAGTGGAAAAGGAAAACAAAACACAAAAACAAAAATAAATAAAACAAATGCAAAGATAGAGGGGAAAAACTGCACAAAGAGAGGCCGCACTTTAATCAGTCTCCGGCTGCGAGATACACAGCTGCATCTGTTAGATAAACGAGCAACGGCAATCATGAGACGCAGATACAGTTACAGATACAAAGACAAGTGCAAATGTCGCTCAGTGCGCAATTGCCAGGTAAAATTATCAAAATGAAATTGCTGGAAAATGTTCAAAGAAAACAAAAACTTTAATCGATGTTTTCAGACAGCGCTTAGTGTACATATAATTACAGATAAAATCATAATCATATTTACAATAATATGATTACATAAAATATGAAAATAATATACTATATCAAATGTCATTAACCGTCAATCGTTGGGAGATAAAACATAACTCGATCAGCTTTATGCGCATCGACAATTCTGTTATCTGCTAACATTTTAGCTATGCTAAGAGTCGACTTAGCATACTTGAACTCATTTATGTTAACTGCGCACTCGCTGTTAATTTGCTCTCTATGCTAAGCGTAGACTTAACATTACTTGAGCGAATTAACATAAGCAAATATTTATTTTCCATATAAAGCACCTATTATATTAATAATTCGTAGTGTTAAAAATAGAATTTTAAATTGAACTATTAATGTAGTTAATGTATTCAATGATAATTATATATTTGTTTCACAGTAATAAATTTATACATTTATTTATTATTTAATTGATATGCTTAAAGTCCAAACATAGAGCGCACGTTTGCTACTTGAGTGCAAGTGCTGTTGACCAGGCCAAAAGCAGGCAGGCAAGAAGAACAACACATTAAGCCACTTGCTGAATGCATTCTTGACCAAATGCAAACAGTCCAGTCAAAGTAGAAGTAGAAGTAGACATAGAAGTTGACTCTCTGACAGCCCTTGTGCCCTTTTTGTTTACACTGACGGCCTGTCAGTGGCCAAGACGTAGGCACACAGCCAGAACGACAGATAGACAGAGACAGAGGGACAGTTGGGCAGACAGTTAGACAGCTGGACACGGCCAATGGACAGCAGTAGGCTGTAGGCAGAAGACAGGCAGGCAGGACACGCGACACTTGACGTGCGGTCATCTTTGGCTCTGCTCTCTCTCTCTCTCTCTCTCTCTCTTTGTGTGGACAACATTTCCACTGCAGAATGCGTTCAAGTATTTGCTAAGGCATTTGCCATTCGCAAATTTGTTAAACAAATTAACATTGCCAAGCACTTACAAAGAAAGAGAAGCCCCAGCCAAGGTGGAAGCCACAGCAGGGAACAGCATGAATCGGAACCTCAACCAAGGCCATATTGCTGGTAAATGCAATTAAAATGTCAATTGAATTATGTGTAGAGTTGAAAAGGACAAAGTTGTAATTAGCTGTGCGGTACAGTTAACAGAATTATTTTGTGCATTAAGTAGGACGAAGCGTAATTAAAAATGCAAATGTAGATAAATAAATAGAATTCTGTTAGATCGACGTTTGCTGCTGTTAGCTAGAGAGTATAAAATGTATGAAAACATTAAAGAAAGGGCTAACAGTGCTCTTTCAACAGATAACAGAGCACTGTTAGCTGACAAGCTGTTACAGTTAACATAAGAGCAAACAGCTATTTGAGCTGTCAAAACAGTGCAACTAACATAAGATCATAAAATCAAATTTGAAGCATTTAACTGCCATTTCTTCTACCATATTATGTAAAGCAACTGTTAACACATAGTTTAAGCACTGTTAAATAGCTATAAAACATACCCATTAAATTTCTACTGCTGTTATTACGAACAAAAGCTGAGCCTAATTTTAGTTCCTCAAGTATTTATAGCTCCATTAACTGGGCTATTTTTAGAAACAGCACTTCAGACTCCATCTCTGCCATATACAGATGTATATATGTATATAGATGTCACGAAGTCCTTAAGGGTCTACTCGAAAGTTATTAAACGCTCAGCGAAGAATATTAAACTTGGCCATTCCCTGTTAAGTAGCTGTGTGGCTGGCGAGCGCATTACGCATATGTATTGTGCATATATATATATGTATATGCATCGGAATCCATCCATCCATCCATCCATTCAAACTGGCCTGACCCTGTTCTGGTGCACCACTAAAAAGAAACAAGATGTAGCTGGCAACCGGTTCTGGGAACTACAGGCAGGCACGCATCCAGGCAGGCAGGCAGGCTAGCCCGCAGACAGCATCATCCAGCCGAGTGCAGCATGCAACTTGCTGCATGCAACGTGCAACTTGCAGTTGTTGCTCGCTTTCAGGTGCAAGCGGGCTATAGAAAAAGCTGGTCAACAGCTACTGCAAATGATATTCGGCTGCTGCATAATCTGGTTTTCTTTGATTTCCAAGGAAGCTTTCTATACCCCGTAGCTATGGAAGGTCGACTTAACAAGGGTATAATGGGCTGCTGGATGAGTATTTATAGCTGAAGAAAGTAGATATGAGATCTCACTATATGATAACAGATCTATCGATAACAGAACTCTTTTGTGTTAGACTTGTTTAGCACTATTTACAGGGTATTGCTAAGTCTATTATGTCTATCTTGCTACTAATCTAGTAGAAATGATCATATTTAAGCTTTAATAATTACATTTAACATTCTACATCTTCCCATCTAACTACAGGGTATCTCTTCACTGTTCACACTCAACTCAAGTTCCTCTTTTTGCTTGCAATTCTTGTTCAGTTCGTGATTTGCATTCCGAAATAAAATCGTAACAGAAAAACACGATTTGAATTAAGGCCAATTGAATTTTTGGTTGACTGATGATTTTCACCTTCGTAATTCACGGCCAATGACATAACGTTCCACCTGTAATGGCTGAGCTGCTCCAATTGGAAGGCTTTACATTTGTTGTTTTGTTATTATTTATGCGAATCGTTGCATTTAACAGCGGACGGTCGAACGTGCTGTAAATCTGGATCGGGTTGCATTTACTGTTCAATTGATAAGCGCATTTGCTGCGATAAGGCAGCTTCCCCTAATTGCCATCAATCCAATTACACACACACAGAGAGAGACTTCAAGTAAATCGTAAATATTTGCTGCTATTAATAAACATGTTGTTTAATTTGTTGCTTTCATTTCAGATGCATGTCGTTTGTTCAGTGGGCCACGCACTTAAGCCAATTGACATTTTGTGCACACGCACACACACACAGATACATATACATACACACATACAGCATGTATGCACGCAAGTAAAATGCCCAACAAATATGCCAAATGATGTCATTTGTCCGCCGTTAACGCTTTGAATAACACAATGTTTTATTCTAATTTGGAATAAATTTAGAGAAGAGTCAAAAAAATAAAAGTAATTACCTAATGCAAGGGAATTCGCGTGCTGTATTTAATATATAGAATAATATATGTGCACAAATTCATTATAAAATATATGCTTAAAAATATAAATGGTTTTGCTATTAACTAACAGAATTTAATGTTGGTTAAGAAATGTAAAACTCCTCATCCACATATTTCTAACATGGCACAAATTCCCTTAAAATACCCCAAAAAAAATGTGTATTTATTTAGCAGTGTGTAAACATGTTAACTGCAACTTAATTAGACTAAGATAATTACATTGCAAATAACATTAACTTCACTATTATTATTTTAGAGCGAATTCACTTGGAATTTTTAACATACACATAACATTTGAATAATGGCTGGTTCGTCATCATGTCTGTTAGTCATATTGTCTCAAAGGAATGATATGAAATGTTTTATATTTGTATAGCTATTCAGCAAGTCGGGCCAAGCAGGCACCAACAACAGGAAACATCCGGCGGGAAATGTTAAATGAAATGGCACATTAAGGATATGCCACAAGTAGCTGCGTCAGCTGAGCCGGAAACGGCCAGGCTTGCGTGCTTGTGTATGGGATTCTTTGTGTGTGTGTGTGTGTGTGTGACTGTATGTGTGTGCCTGGCAACAGGTGTGCGTGTACTTGCAGACTAAATGTTAGCTGATAAAAACAAAATAACTACGGCTAAAAAGGAGCCAGCAACTGGGCATGTAATACGCTATCAACGGCGTCGACTCACCTGATAATATGAATCCGACATGTTTTTGTGTTGTAGTTGTTGCTACTGTTGTTGCTAATGTTGTTGTTGTTGTTGTTGAATCACTCGTTAAGCGCTCTTGTTGTTTGCTGAATTTAGTATATCAGTTTTGTTGTTGCCCGCGTCAGAGTTGAGAGATACACTAATACCGACACACACTCATATATGTAAATATTAATACGCATATGCACGCACACACACAGACAGACGACCAACGCACGTCGCGTTCTTTCGTTTCGTTCGGGTTTTGTTTACTTTTGCTCCAAAAAACACTGTTGTCTATGTATGTAATATATATCTTTGCCTGTTCACACTTCCAACTGTGCTTTTATAGCGAGCGAGCGCGCGCTCTCTCTCTCTCTCTCACACACTCTCTTACTGGTATTTGCTATCGATATTGAATAGAACTTTCGTTGAGTTGTCGTTGTAGTTGTTATTGTTATTATGGTAACATTAGAAATGCGACAACAAAGCAAACACGCTAACAGGTGGCACAAACTAGCAAGAGCGAGATAGCGCAAACTAGCGAGTTAGCCTGACAATTGTTGCTCAAAACAAAAGCAAGCAGTGGGCGGTCTAATTTTTGCAAATATTATTCTGCATATTCCTGGCAAAGCATTTTACACACAAAATAACAATGATCAAGCGAACACTAAACTGCAGCTGAGGCTGCTGGGGAAGAGAGTGGAGTAGATGCACTTCCATAGAAATTAGCTTCAATTGAGCATTTTGTAGATTTAATTGGAAATGGTATGAGTGTGTGTGTTTGTGTGTGTGTTGAACCGTTGCTTTTGATTGAAGTGACTGCCGGTGCTTTTCCCTCTGCCTCAGCTGCTTTTAGTGCATGCTATAAATAAGTAACAGTTAATGGGCAAGCGGGATGGGGCGATGCAGCGCCATAATCAGCAAGCGAATGAAGAAGAGCGGCAAGCGCAAGTGGCGGCAAAAAAAAAAAAAAAAGCTGTTCGCGCAGCTAAATGGAAATTTGCTACTGTGCCCTGCTCGCTCCTTCTCCCTTGCACAAACATACACACACAAGCACACTGGAAGACAAGACAGATGGGCACAGTACCGGTTGCATTATAATGGCGTCTAAATAATGAGGCACCTTGAAATGAAAACACGGCCAAGATTGTTTAAACAATAATCGCAACGCACAAAAACAGCTTTGCACACACTCAAGCACACATACACACACAGCGCTGCATATGTGAGTACTTGGTATCTTTCGCATCTTCTTTATCTTATACAAAAATTTCACTCGTATTTGTAAATTTTTTATAATTGTAATCTCGCTCTCGCTCACTCATTCACGCACGCACGCAAACACACACACACATGCATACAAATTGCGCTGCTCAGATCAAATTCTTTGCCGTCTGTGCTTGTTGCTGTTGCTGCTGCTGCTGCGTTGTCGACATTTCGCTTCGTTTTCTTTGCTTGTTTTGTATGTTGAGTGCAAAAAAACATAATAACAAAACTAATATTAACCACGTACACTTTGTATTCAAATCATAACGCTTGTGTTTAGTGTTGTACTAGTAATTGTTGCATGCAATAAAATCGACACTTGGGTTTTTTTAAACGAAAAAATGTGAAATGGTTAAAAACAGAAAACGGCGACGACACGACGTTCGAGCATATAACCAGTGTGACCGCCAGCACAGAATGAGCAAATTACCAGCAATTGCTTGCTCAAGAAATGACCAAATAAAAATACTAAATGAAGCAGTTCGGCGGCTTTCAATACTTTCAAATTATTTTTAAAAATAATATGGTATTATTTGATAAGTTGTAGGATTAAAGCTATTTTCAAAAATTCATTTGAAACCAATTTTTTATTAGTTAATGGCAGTCTATTTTGTTTTGCGGTTTGCCGATAAACAGGGCTGTGTTTTTGAATGCACTGCAGGCGCTAGAGATGACACTTTTTTAGCGATCGGCACGAACGAAAGCTGCAGCTATAAAGCTGACTACAAATTGTATATATTAAGGAAAATGAAAGACTGCATTAAATATATAAGTGTGTTTATTTATTTAATTAGTTTTTTGCTTAGACTGCTGGCTTCTTGGGCAACGAACCGAATGCTGAAATAACGGTGCCCTTCGTGCCAGTCACGGTCGTAGTTAAGGCAGGTAATGTCGCCTTTGCGGCCGGCTGGTCCCACTTCGATTTCCTGCAGCAAACAAAAACAATAAGTAATTAGGGATTATTTGCACGACAAGATTAGGGCAGCACTTACCGCTTCTTGGCCTCCTCCTCTACTTTGCGAGCCAGCGCCGTCGCTTGCTCCACTTTGTCCATGTCCTTGCGATCCTTTTGGCGCTTGAGCATTTCAGTTTTTTGCACGGCCGACAACGCTTCGTAGTAGCTCTCCTCGCCCCACTGCAGCGGATCGTAGATTTCGGGCGGATAATTGGTGCCGAATTCATTGATGTCACAAAAACTTATCAACTTCTCATAAATGCTGGGATTACGGAACTCCTTGCGATCCTGTATAACGCGATTCATATCCATATTCGTTTGCCTCATTTTCGTATACATTTTCGTGATCTTTGCCACTAGATCGGCTGGCGGCTGCCCTTTTGGCTCTGGAGGCAATTGAAATTTATATTTGGCATATTTCGGATCCTTCTCATAGCTCTCTGCCGTGCGATCATCAGCGTTGTAGGTGTTGGAATCATCATCGTCATCCAGCTGCATGGGCGTCTCTGTTGCGCCTTCTGCCTTGGCAGTGCTTTTATCCTTGCCATTTTCATGCTGTTCGGTCTCCGGCTGCGAGCTGGCACTGTCACTTGAAGACTCTTCCTCGCTGGAGGATTCCTGCGCACGATCTTCTTCCTCGTCAGAGATCAATGTATCGTCCTGGTAGCTAACCAAGCGACGCACTTTCTTAGCACGTTTCCTTTTTTTGTGTTTCTTTTCCGGTTCCGGCTCCTGTTTAACTGGTGTTGCGGGCGTTGGTGTCGCCTGCTTTGGTATTATAACCTGGAGGAAATGACAATTTTGATTATTTCGTGAACATTTTTGTTGATTAAAAATCTTTACCTGCGAAGCTGTTGAATTTTCCGAGTCTGGACTGGCATCGCCTTCGTTTTCCGAGTCCGTGTATTGTGCAGTCAAACTAGCCAATGCGGAATGACTCATTATGGTTTACTTTGTTTTATTTTATTATTATTTAATAATAGTTAAAATTAGTCTTCCAATTTGTTTTCTTTACAGATTTCTCTACTTTATGGTAATTTGCCATTCACAGCGAATAGTCTTTTTTTTGTATTAAGTTGGCAGCACCTATTTGAACAGCTGTAAAGAAAGTGTATACGAGCTATATGGAATTTGTGGTGCCTTAAGTTAATTCAATTATTACAATCGAAATCCCTTTTTACAGGAAAACTTTGAAAATATAATTGAGTAGTACAGTTATATATGGTATATATATATATTTCTAAAGTACGTTAAACGTAAGTTGATAGTAAACGATATATATATATTATATAGAGCATACAACTTTCGTGTTACGTATTTCAGAAATGTTACGTCGTGTAAACGGTATTTATTGTTGACGTTGCCGAATAGGAAAGAAAAGATGAGCGCAGCAACTGAGGAACAGGATCGCATACAAAAGCGCGTAAATAAGATACTGGAGACGCGTCTGGAAGCAGACAAGGATACGTTAGATGCCCTAAATGGATTATCCAGCTTTTTCACCGAAAACACTTTGCAAAATCGTCGCAATTTGCGCAGCCAAATCGAACATCGTTCGGTCGGCATCAATCAGAATTTTCTAAAAGCGTTTCGAGAGGTCAAACTTACGTTAGATGCCGTCTGCACAGATCTGGACACGATGGCCACATCGGTGCAAACCATGAAAACTGACCTGGAGACATCCAAGGCGCTGACCAAGGACCTCATCGAGCAGACCAACCAAATGCAAGAGGAACGCGAACGTCTCGAGGTGCATCAGCAAATCGCGCAGGCTTTCCTGGCACGCTTTCAGCTCAGCGTGCCGGAGCATCAGTTGCTGTACGGCACGGCCAAGGATGCGCCCATTGTGCCTGAGTTCTTCAAGGTGCTGGATCGGGTGCAGTCCATCCACTCCGATTGCCGACTGCTCATGCAGTGCGGCTATCAAACGGCTGCCCTGGACATCATGGAGGAGATGACGCTGCATCAGGAGGGCGCACTGGAGCGGCTCTATCGCTGGACCCAGAATCACTGCAGAAATTTGGAAAACAACGAAATCGGCCCGCTGATCGTGGAGGCCATGAGCCGACTGCAGGACAGGCCCGTTCTCTTCAAATATGTCATCGATGAGTATGCGATCTCACGACGAGCTGTGCTCGTCCGCCAGTTCATTGAGGCGCTCACCGAGGGCGGCCATGGCGGCAATCCGAAGCCCATCGAGCTGCACGCCCACGACCCGAAGCGCTACATTGGCGACATGTTCGCCTGGCTGCATCAGAGCATACCCAACGAGAAGGAGAACCTGATGCTGCTCTTCAAGAAGTGCGACAAGCATGGCAAGAGATGAAACTGCTTCTCTTCTTTTCCAGCAGATTTTAATGTTTCCTCTCTTGCAGATATTTCAGAGCAGATGCAGAAGGCTTTGAGCTACATCGCCGACGGCGTCTGTCATCCGCTCAAGGTGCGCGTGGACACGATTCTGAGCTCCGAGCAGGACACCATCATACTCTTTACCATCTCCAATCTGTTGCGTTTCTATCAGCAGATCATGAAGCAGGTGGTGCAAGGCGGCAGCCTGGAACAGTGCCTCATCGAGCTGCAGCAGAGCAGCGAGCAGATCTATCTGAATGCTCTAGCGGCACAGGTGCGCAGCGTACTGCAGCGGCCAGCGGGCACGAGCTTGGCGCTGGAGCCACCACAGCGGGATCTGGTGCCGCCGGCAAGCGTGTCCCGGCTGCTCAACATACTGAAAGAGATCCTCTCGGTGGCCACCATGGTGGATGGCCGCCAGGCGGACATCACCAAGATCGTCACCTGTGTCATCGATCCGCTGCTGCAGTCGGTGCAGGAGAGCGCCGCCCACCTGCCCACCGTGGACATGGCCGTCTACCTGCTCAACTGTCTGTACCACATGCAGAGCACCTTGGCGGTCTTTGAGTACATGGACGAGCGTGTGGAACGCTTGCAGGCGCAGTCAGACGCCCAGCTGGACACTCTGACCTCCGAGCAGGCCTCCTCGCTGGTGGCCAATCTCAATCTGGGTCCCATCTACACCATCCTGCAGAGTAACCAGACGAAAATCGAGACGAATCTGCTAAAGATTTTCATGTCCAAGATGGATGCATTCCTCGAGCTGCCCGACGTGCTGCTGCTGCCCCAGGTGCAGCTCATCATGTCCAGCGCCCATCGCAGCACCGTCCAGCGGCGCGCCTTCAATGTCATCGTGGCCATCTACAAGCAGATCTATGAGCGAGTCCACGATCCGGCGAATGGCTTCGAGCAACCGGAGGCGTTGCTGCACAAGACGCCCGATCAGGTGGCTCGCATATTGACCAACTGATAAATGGCAACCGCATGGCTTCAGCCTCCTGTTATATGTATTTATGTGTGTGTATTCCAATATATTGTATGACTACTGTAGTCCATTGTAGTTTACTGTGCCCATTGTGTTTGGGGCTTCCCTTTATTGTGCTACCCTCACTGAAATGGAACTCGTGATTTCTTATTGCTACTACAGTCTGTATTCGGTTTGTGTGACAGCAGGGGACAGCTCGGGGCTGCTACAGTGAGAACTAGTTAATGTAAATTCGATATTAGTTTTATATACCAATTGAATTTGAATTTTATATGAAACACGAGTTATTTTTGCTACTACAGTCTGTATTCGATTTGTGTGACTCTAAAAGATAGCTTGTGACTGCTACAGTGCGCACTAGCTAATGTAAACTCAATTCTGTCTTGAAATGTAGATCAAGCTATATAGAAGCTAGCCTATTGATTGTGCGTATTTTGTTTATATGTCTTACTCATGCTTCACTGTAGTTTTGCTGTATGAAATGTAATATATTGTATAACTTTGGATATATGAAAAATGTGTGTAATAGCTCTTGCTTCCATGCCTTTACTTCTTAGCGAAACTCCACTGTGAAGTGGATAACTTTCGTCTTAGTGAACGTTTACTGTACTACTCTTAGAAAGTGCTGCTGAATTGTATTGCAATTATATATATGATATACAACTTTAACTTTTCATTCATTGTACTCTGCTCTAACGTCTACTGGTTCCTCTTAGCGAAGCTCTACTGTATCTTCAATTATAATTGTCGGCAAAGCAAGTGCCAGGCGTATTTAAGCTTCGTTCCGCCTCCCACCCACATTTGTTGTTATTCTAAATGCACAATAGGCTCTAGAAGCTGATATATATGTATATAATATATTGTATATATAATGTATATGCATACATATAGGGTATATATATGTATATGTTATAATCGCCTGCTCTCCATCTTCTGTCAATTGTGCAAAACGCGCGCTTATCACAGCCGAGCCGCGCCAAGCCCTAGGCGAAGGCGACAGAAGAAAAGAAAATAATTCACAAAAGCTTTTGCTTAAAATTAGTTATAAATAAATAAATAAACAAATGAAATGATTTGTTGTTGTCCACACTTATCACGAGGCGAAATCTCTTGA